GAGGTTTTACATGCAAAATTGCATTGTTTTGTTTTTCTTAAAATTCCATAATGGATATAAAAGGGTTTTTACCAGCAGTAAAAAAGAAAAAGCCAAAAAATGAGAGTTCTGAAAAGAAAAAAGGTGTAAGTCTAAATGCTAATGTGCTCTTTTCCATTTTTCAGATTGATTTATAAAATATAATATATCTTGTTTTATTATTGGAACTGGTTTAAGTACGATGCAATTACCAACAATGTGTATTAAAGAGAATCGCTTACGTTTTATAGTTTTCAAGTCTTGCTGGTAATTCTGCTGTTATTGGACTTTGCCAACATCAAGGCTTGGCTAGTAAACAATTTTTTGGCTAGTAACATCTAAGTTGTCACTAGCCACTAGGCTACTAAGTTGAAAAGTTAGTGTCGAGCCCTGAGTCTGTGTTGTTTGTTAATGACTGATGTGTTTGTCATGAATCGTTTTACATTAAGCAAACAATTACTATAAGATATATTTTGAGATATGGAGTCATTTCTGATAAATTTTGACTTACTGTATGATGTCACTAGATTGCCAATGATGTCACACAGCAGAAATTGCTAGTAAATGTCTGAGAGAAAATTTTATATGGCTGAATTATTAAAACATTTCAAGATCATTGTACCTGTAATTTTTTTAATGAATCATCATGTCCAGGTATATTTACATTGTATCCAGAAGGTTGCAGATGATATATTTTCTTTATGAATTTCAGGAGAAGTATGGTTACAGAATCTTATTAAGATGTATCAAGAAAAACTCATCAGTGAAGGAAAAGAGTGAAGGTAAGCAGAAGAAAACCCAATAATAAACTTTATTGATAGAAGAAATTATGGAACTTCAGTGACAAGCCACCCTTTTGTTCTTACAACATTTTGACCTCATCTGTGATCTATATGTAAATGAACAGTACTACTGAATAGACGCACAGCAACATGGAATCTATTAATAGAAGTGGTGGAATGATGACAATGTCTTCAAAAATTAATGTCATGTGGATGTTGTACTCATAGGATATTCAATGCACCATCATGATTGCTTAAACTTCTCACTTTAAATGAATGTGCATACATGTTGCTAATCAAGAGTCCACTACTAATGCAATTGGCCTGTATGACTTAAGGACCAGTCCAGTTGCTCTGTCTTACTATTTTTTTTCTCACAATTTCTGGTATTTTCTTAGTTTCAGGTCGGACTTACAATGTACGTTGAAGAACCTTGATTTGAGATTTGGCACTTGAGTGGAAATCACTGAACAATGATTTGCATTAAGGTAAGCGAGAGGAAATTCCACAAGTTAAACTTCTTGGACTGTGTTTGGTGAAAAACTGATTAACACTTATCTTGGATTGATAGTGGACAAGCCCTGCAGTATTCCTCTCACCATCGTGATTGCTTTTAAATGGTCTCTCTTCTGAATGCATGTGCATGTTATTCAATAGTCCCCGACCGTATACATACACATACATATTGTAATACACATAAGTGAACAAGCATGACCAGACCAGTTGTACATGTACCATTGCTTTTTTTTTTTCTTATTTCAGCATTGTTTTTTCTCAATTATTATTTTGGATGACATGTCATGAAGAACCTTGATTTGAGATTTGGAGAGAAGAAAACACCAACAAAGATCTGCATTAAGGTAAGTTAGAGGAAATTCTTTTTATTGCCTGTATTACTAATTCTGGAAGTTAAAACTTCTTGGCCTCTGGTCATAGTATATGACCAGACCAGTTGTTCCATTGTTGTTGTTGTTGTTTTTTTGTTTTTTTTTCTCATTACAGCTTTTTTTTCTCAGTTTCAGATGACATATCATTAAGAACCTATGATTTGAGATTTGACAAGAAGAATTAAAACACCAACAAAGATCTGCATTATTAGGTAAGTTAGAGGAAATTCTGCGAGTTGAAACTTCTTGTCCTGTGGTGACATAGTATGATCAGACTAGTTGTTCCATTGCCTTTTCTTTTTTCTCATTTCCTCGTTGTTTTTTTCCTCAGTTTCAGATGACTAATCATCAAAGACTTTGATATGAGATCTGAGAAGAAGAAACCACCAACAAAGATGTACTTTAAGGTAAATTAGAGGAAATTCTGCAAGTTAAAACATCTTGTCTTGTGGTCATAATATGAACAGACCAGTTGTTCCATTGCCTTTTCTTTTTTCTCATTTCAGCATGTTTTTGTTTTTTTCCTCAGTTTAAGATGACTTTTCATAAAAGACCTTGATATGAGATCTGAGAAGAAGAAACCACCAAAATTAAGATCTGCTTTGAGGTAAGTTACAAGAAATTCTACAGATCAAAACATCTTGTCCTGTGGTCATAGTATGACCAGACCAGTTGTTCCATTGCCTTAATTTTCTTTTTTCTCATTTTCTCAGTGTTTTGTTTTCCTCAGTTTAGATGACTTATCATCACAGACCTTGATGTGAGATCTGAGAAGAAGAAACCCTCAACAAAGATGTGCTTTAAGGTAAGTTAGAGGAAATTCTGCAAGTTAAAACATCTTGGCCTGTGGTCAGTGTTGGAATTAAAAGTTGACCTATGGTGTTAATGTCTTGTTAAAAGTCCTTTTTTTTGTTTACTTCTTGTAGTAGTAGTATTATCAGCAGTCATCGTTATATGATTAATGTGCTATAGGGATACCAAACGTAATGGAGGACAAGAGAAAAACGAAGCACAAAGTCACCAATCATATCTAGAAATACAGTGAAATCCCACTCTACAGACACGTGCTTAATACAGACACCCGCTTATAGCGGACAGTTTTCTTTGTCCCGACAACTGAAAAGCTCATATATTTTCTCTTAAATTAGCCTGCTTAATATGGACACCCAGGTAATGCAGACATTTTATCATGCCCCTTTGGTGTCCATATTAACAGGGTTCCACTGTAACAAATTAAAGCTACTGTTGCCTTAGTAATATATACTGAACATTGCAAGAAGAAATAAGATGATGATCTCATAAAAGTTTTTAAAAACAACAACAACAACAACAACAACAACAACCAAAAAAACATTCTCAACCTGTAAATTTGAAAATTTCCAACAACAACAACAATGCTTTATTTACTGTTGACACTTAATACACATTTGCAAAGAAAATTACATTAACTTGGGGAAAAGATATGAGTTACAAAAACTTATGAGAATAATTTGAGGTACATGTAAGCACAATATGCACAAGACCAATCAGAAGTGTCCCCTTTTAGGTTCATATTTAGTGGCTTTGGTGTGTTTTCTAAGAATGGCTACATCAACATGTCTTTGTTTATTTTAAGTGAGTCAACATGTATAACTAAATTGTATTCGCGTTTTCTGGGCTGTTTTCCTGCCGTAGTTTGTGTGGCACCTAAATTTGCAAGCTTGGCAAAATGCTTTAAAACTCCTAGAACAGCTCTAATAGTCCCCTTAAGGTGGCTCGAAGCAGTTTCCAACACTTAGATTTTGATGGGTCGTTATAACCACTCTTTATCACTTGACGCTACAATCATGGTATCAAAAATTTGCCCAATCATTGGTGAACACGTCGTTATCATTTTCATGACGCAGTAGGTTATCATAGCAACAGTATGACCTCCTAAACCACCTTTAAGGTGGCCGAACACAATTTTCGTGTGCACTGTTGCTAGTGCAATTCAGCGCATGCGCAAGGATTACTTAAGTCAAACATGGCATCAATATATGATCATTTTATTTGGTCAATACTTGCGTTATCTGTGCTATTTTTCTTCATAACTGAACACAGTGCATTGATGGTCTTAGTCTTTTATTACACAGGTATGTTAGAAAAGGTAACGACTCAATGAACCAAGCAATTCACAGATTTTTGTTTGTTACCGAAAGAACCCAGTTAAATGCAGCGCATGTGTAGTAAGTCAAAAAATTGCGATTGAATGCAGAAAAACTTTCAAGAAGGGATAATTAAAGATCTCTCTGTTAAATTATTGTTTTAAGAGTGTTAACTTGTGAGCATCGTTGCAAGCTTGTTGCATGCAAATTATGAAGAAATTCTAATGACTAGATTTTCTGCAAATAAGCAAAACCGATTTTAAAGGCCTGTTTATATTTATTCATGATGCCATGACAATGGCACATACGTCAGCTTAACTATCAAAAAACTAGTTTGTGTTGTTGACTTGCTTGTTGCCATTTTTGGCGACCAAAGGATCAAGAGTCTAAGAGAAAAAGGTGAATGAAACAGGTATAGATTTTCGAAAATTTAAGGTGGCTCTGAACCCCACCTACAGAATTTTTTTAACTTTGCTTATCAAAAGTTGATAATATAAAAAAATTTCACAGCACCATTTTTGAATTATAAGCCCCTAAAGCTGTAATTAAGGGTGTTTTTAGGAGGTCATACTGTTGCTATGGTAACCTATTGCATCACAAAAATGATAACAATGTGTTCACTAATGATTGGGCAGTGTTTTGATACCATGATTGTAGCACCAAGTGATAAAGAGTGGTTATAAGGACCCATCAAAATCTTAAGGCCCTGTCTCTTTTCAATGTTATCCTGAGTGGGATACTTAACCAGGTTGCATTTACCGGGGGTGTATTTTCAAAGTGACAGGTGTAAGTGATCCTATCAGCATGTTATACTTCTACCCCCTTATGAGGGTGGGAAAAAATCAACAGAGGGTAACGCACCCCAGCCAATGCATTGAGTGGCCAAATATATGTGAGTGGATAAGTCCTTGCCGTATCCTACGGCTATCATGATGGTTTTCATACTATAATGCATCTGCTGGGGCAAACAAAAGCCTATGATATTAAAAATGTCCAACTATAATTTATAAAACTGCAAAAAAGTACGCTCAAAGCCGTCTTCAAGACCTCGATAAAACACAGAACTGACGTTTTTTTTATTTGTTAACAAGTATTTGATAAGAAAGGACTTGTTTTAAAAGTTTATTCACACCTGGCTTTGCTGTCCAGATAAATGTCACTCGGAATGGGAGAGGAAGGGGTTGATTCTTATTCTGAAAATCCACCATCTTGGATCCAGTCTATCATGGATTTAGTGATGTTTCATGACTCTATAAATAATTTATAAAGGGGTGCAGAATTAACGAAAACAAGAAATTGCAAGAAACTTGAGTGGAAACGTAAACAGTAAAAGTCACAATTTAGATGTGCATGTCAATACGTGGTTAGCATGAAAACGTCAAGTTCTYTGAACAAAAKGTTGCAACCAAAAATTTCCTTAATGGCTTTCATAAACGTCAGTGATTATTTCATGACACTTTTTAAGTTCAGTAATAATTTTTCAAGTTTGCAAAGGCATTATAAGCTAGCCCCTCTGCTCCCCTACCTCCCCTCCCCTTAGACTTTTCAATCCTAAATTTAGATACCCTTTCCTCTAAAAAAAGTACTGGTACTAATCATAGTCAGCCATTTAAATTTGAAGCAAATAGTCGACAGTGTTCTTGATTTGTTTCTTTTTGGCAACATCCTTGCTTTCAAAATCGGTGCAAATGTAAATGTGCACTGCACTCAAATTTGTGTCTATAGGAATTATGCCCAATCTTCTATGCCCGAGGCTTCTAAGCAAAAATTTAATCAAGAAATGGAATGAAAACTACGCTTGTCAGGTGAATCATTCATTGTTCAATCAACCAAACAGTGATTGTTTTCTCTTTTCAATTTTATCCCAAAGTTGCATCAGTCAACAAATCCTAGACAATGCTTTATAATTAGCGTTCTATTAGCACCTCACTTGGTTTGTCAGCTAACACGCACGTCAAAAAGTTTAGTCATGGACAACCAAAAGTATTGTGTGTCCTTACAGATGGACAGCGTCGAGCTCGTAATCGGGTGAAATTTATTTATTTTCTTGCAATCTTTCAAGGGTTAGACATTACAAATTACTGCGTAAGCTTTTTTTTTTTCGCTATTATCACGCAGGCATGTGGTATTTACCGTGCGTGTGTTAATTTTCTGCTTCGACAATTTGCAAGTCACATATTGGTATGATCGGAATGTGGACAAAAAATTGTCTACTATCGATTGAATTTTTTTGAAAAAACTGAAAAAAATTTGGAGACCAACTTTTTAACTTCAAACACCTTAGCAATCATAAGTTAGTGTCATTGCTTGGAAGTTACTATTTTATCCACTCTTTGTGAAAGCTAAATAGCCTGGTTTAGTTGCATTAGTGATCTATTCTTGCTCTTTGATAAAAGCAAAAAAACAGCATTTGACGAAATACTTGAAAACAATAAGGCCTATAAATTAATTTTGAAGCGGAATTTGCTTTTCTTTGCAGAATTTGTCATTCTTTCGCTATTTATATCGAGCAAAAAAGTAATTTCAATACTTTTTCTTCGAGGATGAACTGACCGCTCTCTCTCGTGAACTACAGTTGACGGCTAAATGATTAGTATTGTAGTTGTTTTGAAATCCATCGGTTTTTCATGATTGTTTGATCATTCAGTAACCTAACTCTAGTTACGGCTTCTTAGGCAATTTTAAAAACTCTGTACTATTCGAAGAAATGTGGTGATTATATGAAGAATTTCAAATATCGTCCAAAATTTGTCATTTTCATCACGTTATTTTCTCTAGCTTTAAACAGCTTTATTTTCATGAGAATATAAACATCAAACAGACACCTGATGAAAATGTAAATCATTTAACAATAGCTAATGGTGATACATGTACCTGTCAATAATTATATTTTAATTTCTGAATTACTTTTTGCGCCTCGTTTGTCATTTTAATTTTGTCGGCCCTTGGACTGATCAACATCTTATTCCTTCTTGAAATATTTGTTTGTTGTCGAGTAGACAGGTTGAGAGAAGAAATAAAATCATCACCTTGCATGGGAATATTACCTTGATTCAACACTAGTATTTAAAGAAATATATTTTTGTTAATGTGCGATGTTGTGGGTGATATTTATCCTGAAGCAAACGTTTCAGTTCCACCTTTTAAATTTGCTATTACCTTAATTTGTGACTGCAGGTACGAAAATATGAACGAATACGCCGAAATAGTTTTTAAACCGGCGCTTCTTTTGAGAAGCTTCACTTGGGCTCCGTGAGCAAACAGTTTTTATCATAGCCTTGTAACGTTTTTTACGGTAACGTTTTGTAACGTTTTTTGTCTTTTAACACGTGCACGTTCCTTTGTATTTCTCCAGTGTGCTCATCGACGTTTGCCGGATGATTTGGATCAAAATTCAGAAGAGAGAAGACAAGGACTTTTGAAGAACTGAGGAGAACAAGACAAGATAGTGTGAGGTTTATTCAGCTAGTATTTTTCCCACATCCGAGAGAATGTTTCAAAGATTATCGTGATCTAGAAATTGTTGAATAGAGTTGATTTCGCAAAATTTGTGAAACTGAATTGAATAATGGTGAAAATTTAGTTGTCAGAGTGAAACAATCAGAGCAAAACAAAAGCAAAAGCACTGGAACAGCTCAGGGAACTCTACTATTGTTGCTTTCAAATGATTTAGTATCCAATAGTCTGATATTTAAAATCAATAGCGCAAAGTTAAGACTTGAGTTTAAAGTTGAGCTGTAAGCGTTTTAGAAGAAACTTCTTCCTACGCTTTTGCTGTCTTTCAAATTTTTTTCTGAGCTTCAAAAAATGAAGCGAATACGTGGAAAATTCTGCGAAATAGCTTGCGAAATTTTTTTCCAGTGTTATCACAGAACAAATCATTGCCGCTACAAAATGTGATGCAGCATTCAATCAGGACATGTAAACACATGTGCTGCTTGCATGCTCTGTTGTGTTATTTTGTAGTGGCAATGATTTATTCTGTGATTATTTTAGTTTTCATTTTACGAGATTTATCAGAAACTATTGTAAAAATCTTGACAGAATAAGCCAGAGCTTGTAATCGCATCGTCTGTTAATCAAATGAAATGTTTCATCAACAATCAGTTTTTTAATACTCGTTTTTGCCAGAAAATATTCAGAAAGCTTTAATTTTTGTTTTCAAACTTCCAAATTATTTATTCATCTATACACGGCTGTCATTAGACTTAATAATCGATCGTTTGAAGACCCAGCAATTTGTTAATGGTATTCCACATTTTGACTTAGTATTTATCTCAGTGTTCATTTATATTTGACTTCGGTAATCGTGCTTTCTCGACCTTGCAGTTTTGAAAGTGTTGTATAATCATTGCTTGTAATTGAGTGTTGCAAATAAGTTTAGTGTTTACTTTAATCAGTTGTAAATTAAGTAGATGAAACAAAGCAATCAATAAAGTATTCACAACTTTAACTGTCTCTTATCTTTATTGTCTTTTTGACTTTACTGAATAAGCAAATAAAT